CCCCCCCGCATAAAGGCTCAGACACCTCTGCCTTCCCACCCCCAAGGGGAGACGGCGCGTGGCTTGGGGGCGCTGGGGGCCCAAAAGATGCCGTTGGGAGGGGAGGGCCAGAAGCGACGCGGGGGAGGGGGTGAGTGAAAGGGAGGGGACGCTCCGAATAAGCCAGACAAAAACCGGGGGGGGGGGGGGGATTGTTGGCAAAGTAGCATCGGTGGCGTTTAAAGGGATTAGAGAAAGCCGGGGGAGATCTGTCAACGGCTATTAGTCGCGGCAGATGGAGCCGCCATGGCCAAAGGCAGTGTATCTGTGACTATCAGCTTCTAGGAAGGAACAACGGAACGGTGGCGGCTTGCCTTCCTTTGTGAGTTCCCGATGGTACCCCGCTACTTCAGCGGGGTTCTCCACTAAACCCCGGGGCTTAGCCCCAGAACCTTTTTTCTGCGCTATTGTAAAAAAAAAAAAGAAAGAAAGGGCCTCTGCGCACACGCAGAAGACTTCGGGAAGCTCGCGATTTTAACTCCCCGCCCTTGCCAAGGGATTCCCGGTCCGTGCTACTCTTAAGCTGATCTGGGCCCCAGCACCTGTTTCGATTGGCACAGCAAGGGAGGCGCAGCGCCCTCTGGAAGCGGAGCTTTCCTGGAAACGGCTCCAGAGCTGGCGCGGGCGGCCTTTTCGAGAACTGGGCTTGCCAGGAACTCAGCGCCTGCCAGGGGCTAAAGAGGCAGCCCGCTCCGGAATCCGGGTCCTGCCCTGCTGAAGCTGTCGAAGTCAGCTCGGAGGAGACGCTTCTCTCCAGAACAGCCACCCGTGCAGAGACTTTCTCTCCAGGGGTTTGTGGCTTTCAGAAGGAAGGGCCTGCCTGCACAGAGCCACGGTGCGGCGTTGAGATCAGGGTGTTGTGGGAGGCTCGGGGAGATCCGAGTTCAGATTCTCCCTCAGCCGTCCATGAGACTCGCCAGATGGCTTTGGGCCAGTCACTCTTTCTGGGCCAAGCCTACCTCACAAGGTCGCTGTGAGGATGAAACAAAGGGAGGAAGGGAGATCGGTGTGTGTGACCTCCTGAACCCCTTGGAGGAAGAGGAAAGAGGTAAAATATGCCTGATAGATAGGTTCACCTACACAGCTTGGGCATGAGCCACACACCAGAGGAAACCCCAAGTATTCTCTTACGGCTGAAATTTTCCATCAGAAGTCTCTCTCTCTCTCTCTCTCTCTCTCTCTCTCTCTCCCTCCCTCCCTCCCTCCCTCCCTCCGTCCCCCCGTTTCCTTTCCTTTCTCTCTCTCTTTCCTGTCCACTTCTACAGGCACCCCACACTACCTCCCCAGAGCCTAGCAACTGTGCAAATAGCTTTAGAGGCAATAGAATACCTAGAGCTTTTCTGCTGCTCAAGATTATACGTCTATGACCTTCTAGGAAAGGGAAAGGAATCGCGTTAAAGAGGTCTGAAAATATCCTGCACTTTCCGGCGGCTGCCAAAGCACCAAGAGCCGTCATTTCCCCTTGCGCCGCCGCGAAGAGAGACCCAGCGCAGCCCGCTCGCCTAAGCTTTGCCTCTGGCGCGTGCCTGGCTGCGGGGCGGGGAAGGCCGGCGTGTGCCGCTCCCCAGCCCTCCTGCCGGGACACGCGCGCCGCCTTCCCCCCTGGCCTCTGGCGCGTGCCAAGGACGCCCGCCCGGGTCCCGGCCGTCCCCGGCCACGTGGGGAAGAGCCGGCGAGAGATCGCGGCTGCCGGGCTTCCCAGCGACAGTCAGTTCCGATTAGAAAGCGAGCCTAGCATCGGGCGGCGGGGAAAACGGACCCTTTCCTAGTCCAGGCTGGGACCAACTCGCCAGCCTGGCGCCCTGGACGCCCTAGACAGCGGCACCCTTTGCGCACAAGTTGCTTCCGGAACCAGTGTGGTGGATAGTGGACAGAGTGGAGGACTAGGTCCCTGGGTAATCTGGGTCCGAATCCCCAGTTCTGCCCTGGAACCTGGCTGCGTGACCAAGGCTCCTGGAACCTGGCCCCGTCACCAACGCTCAGCCCCCTGACCTACTTCGCAGGGCTGTTGGTCTGGGGATAAAACAGAGGAGAGAAGAACGATGTTCCAAAGGGAGAAAAGCGGGGTATAAATAAATAGATGCAGGGTCAAATAAATGCACCTGCCCAGTTGAGTTCATTCGGGGTTTGTTCTCGGTCCTTTCCAGGCGCACGGCCAGGACTTACTTCTGAGTAAATACGCATCCGTGTGGATGCAACGTGCTTTGCATCCCCCTGCCATTTTCTTGCTGGAAAAAGCTAGCCCCCCTGCCCCTTCTCAGCCACTGCAGACAAACAAACCAAAGCGGAGGGGGAGTGTCCGGACGTTTTCCCAGGTATCTTGATGGTGGCCTCTTCCAGGGAGAAAACGGCAGGGAAAGAAAGAGGCTCCTTCCCTGCCTCTCTTCCCGCGCCCTTCCCGTCCGAGTAGTCTCCGAGGTGGCGCTTGCAAGGAGGAAATACCATCAGGGCTCTTTCTGTGGGCTGGGCTAAAAGCTCTAGGGGAAAAGTGGGTTTCAAGGCGAAACTAGAAGGAAGAGAAAACTTCCTTTCAGAGAAGAAGCTCTCCCTGCAAATTGTTATTTGGAAGCCACATGTATTTTTGTTTTGGGGGGGACCAAGTGTTTCTCCAAATTGTCTCTGCTTTCCCCCCACCGGGACTTTCCATCCCCCCTCCCTCTCTCAACTCTCTGCCTAGGCAGGCACCTGGGGGGGGGGGAACTCACCTAGCCTGCTTCAACGTTCCTGGAGGACTGGAGAGCTACAATTTGTGGCTTCCTCTTCCGCGGGCTCCCTGGCTCCCTTTTCACCTCTCTGTTCTTGCATCTCCCTTTCTCCTTTTCTTTGGCACCCCTTTCTGCCGAAGCACCCCCCCCCCATATCTGACCCTCCAAAAAAACCTTTCAGCTGGGACCACTAACCACACACACACACACACACACCAATTCTCCAAAGCGCGCCAATGGTTTAATTCTTTTGAATCCCCTATGGGAGGGGACAGAAGCCCAGATCAGTGTTGGGGGGACTGTTGGGTGGGGCGGTGCGTTCCTATTAAGCCCCCACGCACCACCTCGGCTTGGGAAGCAGCGAGCTCTCGGGGGCTCAGAGCTACATAATCCCCCCCCCCAAAAAAAACCCCAGGAGCTTGGGGTGGGGGTGGGGCTCGTGCTGCCCATCTGTAAAAATAAAGGGCGGGGTTGAGATCCTAACTCTCTGCGCCGGAGAAATGGACGCAGCTGTGGGGTCAAAGAATAAACTGGAGCCCAGCGGATAACGGGGGGGGCGGGGGGGGGGGGGGCCCTCGAGGGA